GTAAGTGAGAAACACCACTGTCACAAAAAAAAAAAAAAACGAAGTAAAAATCTAACACTTAAAAACTCACAACAATGTTGTATATAGCCGGCTTTTTAAATACTAAAAATTACACAAATAATAAATTATATATTAACAAACTGTTGATAAAATTTTTTTTATTATGTTTGACGGCTGACAATATACCGGGATTACACTAACCGCCCTTCCTCTCTAGTTCAATTCAACACAATGGAGTGAGTTCACCAAGAAAAAAGTCGTCTGTTTTGACTCTCGAAATTTTCAATATTACACTTCTATGTTTAACTTATTATTCAATAAATCGACGGTGGGCGCAATGTTCGCTTCGAGATCGCGCACTGCGGAGAATGACCATCGTATTTTTACAACGTTTCAACTACCTTTGTTCTTAACCGTTGTTACAACGCTTGTCTCCGTAAGTGTTCATTTAATGTGAATATAATCAACATTGACTGCCCTTATTGTTTGAATTGAAGTCCATGGTTTTTCAAGAGCAATTTTTAAAATCGTTTATATACTCTATGAAATTAAAACTGAATATCCTTTAGCAAAATAATAATTGCCCAAAAAAAAAAAACAATTTTTTTTTTTTTTTTTAAAATTACAATTGAACTGAAAGTACAAAGTTTTTCTCGTTTTAAATTTTTTTAAATTAAAAATTTTATACAAATCCCTATTATTCAAATGTAACGTATGTTCTTCCCGAGCGCAATGAAATTATTTATAAACAAAACTTATATTGTCCAAACTGACAATAAATTTTTTTCTTATAACAATAATAATAATTATTAATTTAATTTTAAAAAATTTATATAGAAATTATTATTTACTTTAATTTATCTTCTTTTTTTTTCTGATCATAAACTTTTCATTCATACATAGAAAAATAATACAATTTTTTAAAACTTTAAAACAATTTTAAAAAATCAGATGTAATTTTTATTTGGTTTGTTATTTACTGATTTTTTTTTTCTTTTAAATTAATAAAAACTTTTCTTCCTTTTATTTAAATGTAAATAATTTAATTAGATAAAATGGGATTCGTACAAACTTTAAATTTTGAAAAATAAAAATTACAATTAAATAATTTTTTTTTGCATGCCATCCATACACGCGCGGTTTGGATTTATACAAACGACTCGAAAAATAAACAAATAAATTATTATTATTATTATTGGGTAATATTTTTTTTATACATCACGATATCAACTATGTAAAAAAAAAAAAAAAACATTTTATTAGAATTGTTTTTTATTTTTACTTTAAATTTGTTTTAATTTTTTTAAAAACAATTTCAGAGAAGAATGTTTATGGAATTAAAAAAAAATTAAGGTCCTAAAGTCACACCTAACATTTGGTCATGCATTTATCGATTTTTCTAAGGTCAATTTCATATATTCCTTCATGTTTATTATATATTTTTAAATAAGAAACAATTTTTTTGTATTTAAGAGCATATGTTTGGAAATCACGAATATTTTTTTTTTTTATATGAATAATCCTTGAACCATCTTTTTTGAGACACCGGCACTTTACTCTTGGTCGATCATTCATGTCTGTAACTAAAACCTACCGTACCTTTTATATTTTTTTATTATTATTAATTTTAATGGTACTTCCAAATTTTCATTTACGTTTATTAAACAGTTAAGTTAATAATTATTATTGTTGTTGTTGTGAGAAATTACTATTATTATTATTATTATTATTATTGGCATAAAAAAAATGTTATTAGATTTTCAATATGAAAAATGATGGTTATGAACTCATGTGATAAAGAGAGAGAGAGAGAGAGAAAGATTATCAGTAGTCAAAATGTTATTTTACTCATTTTGGCACATAGCAATTACATAGAGAAAAAAAAAAAAACAAAACAATAAATAGAAACGACGATTGTCTACCGTCAAAGGAAGTTTTAATAGACGAGAGAGGAAAAAGTAAAAGAGAGAGAGAAAGAAAGATTAAATAAGAGAGAGAGAGAGAGAGAGAGAGAGAGAGAGAGGGGTTGTATTAAAAAAAAAAAAATTCAGCGGGTTTTAAAAGGAGTCGAGGGAAGTTGGCTGCGCAGGAAACCTGCGCAAACGCTCCCCCAGTTTACGGTACCCTCCGTAATTTTATTTTCTTCCCTTTTTTTTTTTTTTTTTTTTTTTCGTTGACAGTTCATGCATTTTTGTTTACATTGTAACCTTGAACTTCATTGTCAAATTTTTAAATGAAAAAAAAAATAATAATAATAATAATAATATACGTTCGATTTTACTTAATTCACATTTTAAAATAATAATAATAATAATAATAATAATTTTGTTACCCCGACAATCGAATCGTCCACTCGCAAAATAATAATAATAATAATACGTTGAAATAGTATTTAAAAAAAAAAGTTTTTCTCATGATGCACAGACATCACTGTACTGTACCTTTCTTCTATACCTGGGCCAGGTAATTAGGAACGTGCCCGAACTTGGCTTAGACGACTTAGGCGATGGTTCAATGTTTATTAAAACGATCATGTTCGATAAGTTAATGATCCAAGGTCGGGTTCATGTGATTTTTATATATTTATATATATATATATATTATTTATCACTCTTCCCCTTAAATTATAACCAAAATAAATATTTGGATAAAAATTTTCCAAATTTAAAAAAGTTGTGATCAATAAATAAAATAAAAAATAAAGTCAATAACTATTTAAAAAAAAAAAAAAAAACATGAAACTAATAATAATAATAATATTTCATTTAACAAACATTTCTCTAATAGAGAATAAAAATTGAGTTGAATTTTTTTTTAAAAAATATTTTTCAGAGAGAGAGAGAGAGAGAGAGAATTTAAAAATATTTGTATATAATATTTAAAAAGTAAAATATTAAAAAAAAAAAATCAAAACCTGATACCTGAAAAAAAAAAATTCTAAAAGAAAAAAATAAAAGAATTTAAATCCAAGTTAAAAATGGGGGATGAATTTAAAAAAAAAAAAAAAAAAGCAGGTCAACGTTGTGAGATTTTTTTTTTTTAAGGCACACAATTATTTAGGTATACTCATTTAGGTATTCATTTTGATAGGACAAATTGTCTCTGGTTGTTGTTGTTGCCTTCGGGTTGTTGTTGTGTGCCTTTTAATATTTTCATAAGAAATTTTTTTTTCTTTTTTTTTAAACGTTTCATTCATGTTTGCAGATTAACAAAAAAAAATTAATTTAATTATTTTTCAATATGGCGTTTCTTATTTTATTTACTAATAATTTGCAAGGTTAATAAAAAGTTTGAACAATTAAAAAAAAAAAAAAAAAATTTTTTTTTCTTTTAAATTGCAAAATTTTTCATTATTTCAACTTAACCCCCCACTGAATTGTAAACAGTTACGAAATTTTCGCTATTACACATATTTATTTATTTACAATGAAATATTTCGATTTTACCTAATATATAAAAAAAAAAACGTTAACGCCATTTAATAATAATAATAATAATTTAAGCAAATGTTCCGGCATAATAAAATTAGTCGCGTACGATTTGCCTTGACTGCTATGATGACCCAGGTTTGCCACATTTGATGACTCCCCGAGGTCATTGTCGGCTTATAAAAAAACGTTTTATGTGACTTTGAACGAAGGTATTGCTATAATAATCATCATCATCATCATCCATATTGTTTCGTACCTCCTTCAGGTTTAATTTCTCATAATAATAATAATAATAATAATATTTTTTTTCGGCAATTAAAAATTGTATTTTTATATATATTTGTTTAAAAAATTTGTTGAAAATATTAAAAAATAATTTAATAAATGAAATAATTATTTGTTTTTATTACATATAAATATGTTTAATAAATATTATTATTATTATTAAATAAGAGATGCTGAAACAGCTGATAATTTTGATTTGGCGGGCAAAATGATAAACCATGGACAGCTGCAAAGCCTTCTTCTTTCCCGTGCGTGACGCCCGCCAGGAACATCTGTTTATGACGTCATCAAACAACTGCCTCAAATTTTTCACTTGAAAGGCTTTTCCCTCGTATTGAATCAAAGGCAATGTCACCCTTCTGATAATGCTTGAGCCTATTATTCTACTATTGTTCTCCCCCCCAAAACTATTATTAATATTACTATTATTTGGCCGCGTTTCTGCCGTCTGCCAAAAAGTAATTTCCCTCCCTTCTCTCTATCTCTCTCTCTCTCTCTCTCTCTCTCTCGTTTTATATTGAAAAAATTATTATTACAAAATTTAAACTCGTGTTCAATTTAAAACGTTTTCAACATATAATAATAATAATGATAATTTTTTTTCATCATAATCATCATCATAAATAATAGTAGTATATAATAATAATAATAATGATAGATGATTAGTTAAAAAAAAAAAAAACTGATAGTATTAATAATTAAGTAAATAAAATTATTTTAAAGGAGAAATCCGCCATTTTTTTTTTTTTTAAATAGGAAAAAGAGTTATATGTAAGAAAAAGATTAACAATTGAAATTTTTATTTAAGTTTGAAAACAATTAATTTTTTTAGAAATGGTTAAGACCTCTTGTTTGACGAAGGGCGAATATATAAAAGGGTATAAAAAGCAAGTAAAAAGTTGGGGTTAATTCAGTTGCCAACCCGGTGGTTTTTTTTGAAATTTTAATCATTAAAAGAAACGATTGATCAAAAAATGTTTTTTTTTTTTTTTTTGTATTTTTCTCAGCTGTCTCTGTTTAAATAAAAACTTGGCGCTTTTTTTTTATTATTTTATTTCAAGAGACACCCTCATTATGTTTTGATTTTGTATAATTTGCATGGATTTGTAGAAAACAAAGAAAAAACTATAAGCGCCATTTTGTTTACAATTTGCAATCCCAACAATTCACAAAATTAATATAAAAGGAAACCTACAAATGATGATGATGATGATGATGATTATAATATTAAAATTATCATTGTTAGTCATGTTAGTAGATATAAATTAAAAATTTTACTTATTTTTAAGGATTTCCTTTTCTTGTTGACAAATTGGTACGTCGAGGAGATGATTTTGACGTAAACGATTGCGAAGTTGGTAATTCGAACATTTCTTTCAATGAATTACGATTAATAATGGCGGAATCAAAATTTTGCAAGGCAGGAGAATCCTCTTGAACGTTGTAATTTGGCTGAATTTAAAAAATAAAAATAAAAAAAAAACAATTAGCATCACAAAATTAAATAATTTAATAAAATGAATTAGTACTTACCATGAGTATCAATCTGGTCAATCCATTTTTAGGTGGTTTAAAATTTTCTTGTTGCTCATATAAAAGTTTTGTGAAATTTTCAATTGATTTTTCCGTTAAATTATTATATGCAAGGTTTAAACTATGTATTGACCAACAACCATAACACCAATATTGGTCATTTCCGGGTGAAGTCTTTCTTACACAAATAGAAATTGGTGTTAACAAAAAAAGAAAGACATTTTGATGGTTTTAAATACCAATTTATACCAAATTACCTCACTGACAAAAGGATGTTTATCTATTAGAATTTCACTGTTGTTTCTTTCTTCGTTTTCAAAATTTTTTTTAACTTCTTCAGCATCAACTCTCAATCGTGAATTATGTTTTGATAATTTATTTTTACGTTCACCCCGAACGGCCAAACACAATTTTCCATCTGGTCCACGAATTTTTCTAACCGTCGTACTATTTCCTAATGATAATATTACCTTCAATCACCATAACAAAAAAACATTATGGATGTTCTAGTAAATAAATAAATAAATATTAAAAATGATTCTTACTATCGTTTTTCTTACTATCGTTCGTCTTTGATGATTGGGATTCAGTTTCTCCTTTTCCTTTATATTCTTCAGCAAGTTGTTCCGTTTTAGATTTATCTTTTAATATTCGATCGAATATTCTTCTTCGTCGTAGTTCTCCTTCGGATCGTGTCAATGGAAATTTTTGTAGTACTTCAATTAGATAGTCAACACCTTCATCTCCAATACGATTTCCAATCAATGATATTGAGGTCAAAGTTCGATTCGTTCGTAGAACATTTGCCAAATGATACATTCCAACATTTCCTATTTTATTCATACCCAAATTAAGAAGTAAAATTTTTGATTCTCTTTCATCAGAATATGATAAAGGTTCAACTATGAGCTTCAAATCTAAAAAAAACAACATGGAGATTTGGTTATGTTTTTTGTTTGGGGAAAGGAGAGAAAATAAGATGAAAAACAAACCTTCATCGTCGATGCCACATCTTTGAAATGATAAAAATTTTAATCCAGTATTTGAAGACAAAAAAAGTGGTAATTTATGAGTTATGTTCAAATTACCACTTAGGCTCAGGTTTGAAATTTGTTTTCCAGAATCTTTTGTTAATATTGTGGCTAATTCTTCAGTAAATTCTGAACTTATGCAACAATCTTCTATTATTAGAGTATCAAGAGTTGGAAACAAACTCAATGATTTTTCAATTGCATATATAAAAGAAAATTCAATGTAAATATTTTTACAAATAACTTTGATTGGATTTTCTTCTTCTTCTGGATTTTCATATGCAATTGTTATTTGTGGTGGACGACTTTCACATTCTTCATTTAATGTTATTATTTGTGATAAATCAGAATTATCAACATCTTTCACTTCTTTAGTTTTCTAAAAAAAAATTAATACAAAATAATTGGGTGATATTGTTTTTCATACAAATTTCTTAAATCTACAACATTTACATCATTATAATTAATATAAGTTAAAAAATGGGCAAGTTCAAATATTCAAAAAAATTTTTATACAAAATAAAAATAAAATCAATTGATATTTAAATTAAAAATATATATTTACTGAAGGAGATTTTTTACTAATTATTCCATCTGGATTATATGTTATAAATTCTGGAATAATAAGGACATCTTCTTCTTCGCAAAATTTACTTAAAACTGATGCAAATTTTCCTGGCGCCATTAAAATTAAAACGAAAATCGTCTGCTTCGAAAACTTTTTCAAAAATCCGTTACATAATTATTATTAAAAACATTTTTATGATTCTCTTTTATATTTTCATTAACTAAAAATTATTTTAGTTATTTAAAAAAAAAAAAATAACGTACTTATTTTATTAAATAATTGAGTATTAAAATTAAAAATTGTAATTATTTAAACCGTTCATTCTCGTCTTGTCTTTTTCTGTTATGATTTTAATGACGTCATTTTACAAATATTCACTGTTTATGAACAACAACAAAAAATAAAAATTTTATTTTTAAAATATATTAACGAACATTTTTTTATTAAGTTTATACTATTTTATTTATATTATTTTTTAAAAAATAACGTTAAGAGTAATAGCCTCTAGAATTACTATTATTATTATTTCTTCAAAATAAACTTATGTGAAATCAACATAAGCTAAACATTATTTTGAAAATAATTATATATAGTGTAATAGGTAGAAATGTTAGTTATTTTTTAAACCAACGAACTTTCTGGAAATTTCGGATTTATATTTAATTTAAAGGCTTCTTCTTCATAAAGTATGTAATTGATCGATAGAATATAAACATTATGGGAGAAAGAAGCCATATTATGAATAAAAATAAATAAAAATTTAAATTATGTATTTATATATATGTTTGCGTACATAAAGAATATTATAAATAATATAGAAATTATTTATTTATTTTAAAAAATTAAAAATATAAAGATAAAAAAATATTTTTTTTATTAAAAAAAGGATTTGTTAAGGTTCTACTGCAGATTAAAATGAAAAATTTTCTATGTACACAGAGATATGTACAAAAGTATTTAAAAAAAAGAAGGTATTTAGACTCTTCCATTTATTAATTATTGTTTCATTCCAATCTACAAATAAAATTAAAAAAGAAAAAAAAAAAATTAAAATAATAATAATAAATACCTAATTTAAATAAAATGATTGATTTGTAATCGATTTTTATTCCTTTCGGCAAAAGAAAAAAAAAAATTAACTTACCGAATAAAATTTCTTTACATGCCATCATACGCTGGTCCACCGCCACCCTCGGGTACTACCCAATTTATATTCTGCGTCGGATCCTTAATATCACACGTTTTGCAATGAATGCAATTTTGAGCATTTATTTGAAGTCTTTCACCCGTACCTGATTCCAACGGTACGAATTCGTATACACCTGATTTAATAAAAAAAATTTTTTTTAATTTTCAAATAGATTTTCAATTTCATGATGTGATTCGAGTTAAAAATTTTTTTTTTTTAACCTGCAGGACAAAATCTAGACTCGGGTCCCCCGAATTCGGTTCGATTTATTTTAATAGGAATCGTATCGTCTTTTAATGTGAGATGAGGAGGTTGATCACCCTCGTGATTGGTACCCGTTAATGCAACGGAAGACAAAAGATCAAAACTTATTTTTCCATCGGGTTTTGGATAATCTATGGGAGACACTTCGGATATTTTCTTTAGTCTTGCGTTATCCGGTGCTGAAACAAAATTTTTTCATATTTAAAATGTGGAAACTGATAATAATAATAATTTTTTTTAAAATTAATAAAGACTACTTACCGCCATGTTTCAAAGTCCAAGGTTCTGAACCTTTGATCATTAATGAAATACCAGAATAAAGTAAACCACCGTAAATTCCTAATGGATTGTGAAAAGAAGGCCTGCAATTTCTCACTTCCATTAATTCTTTCCACACCCAACTGTTTTTTATTTTTTCCTCATAGGATTTTGGCTCTATACCTGAAAATAATAATTATTATTATTATTAATTTAATTATAAGTTATTTGATTAGAAAAATTAAATATTACCTTTAGTGGTAGAATCTCCATTTTCGATAGCTTCGTAAGCCGATTCCGCAGCGAGCATACCGGATTTCATTGCATTGTGAGTTCCTTTTATTTTTGGAACGTTTAAAAAGCCTGCGCAACATCCTATGAGACAACCACCAGGAAAAGTTAATTTTCCAATCGATTGAATTCCACCTTCGGATATAGCTCTAGCTCCATAAGCAATTCTAAAGGAAAAATTATAATTTTTTTTTCAAAAATAACGTTTTAATTCAATGTAAAATTTTATATAAAATTAAAAAAAAAACCTTATTTACCTTTTTCCTCCTTCTAATACCGCTGATATAGATGGATGATGTTTAAATTTTTGAAATTCTCTAAAAGGACTTATGTACGGATTAGAATAATCTAAACCAACAACAAATCCAATTGCAATCAAAGGATTTGTTTCATTTAAATGATATAAAAATGATCCGCCGTATGTGTGAGCATCCTGAAAAAAAATTTGTTTTTTCATATTGAAAGTCATGTGATTTAAAATTTTAGAAATTGTATAAAATATTAAAAGTGTACAAAAACTAACCAAAGGCCATCCGACAGTGTGTTCTACGGTTCCTGGCTGGTGATTTTTTGGATCTATTTCCCAAACTTCTTTAATTCCTAATCCATAAGTTTGAGTTTCGCAATCAGTTCTTAAATTAAATTTTTTATTAATCATTTTTGTTAAGTGACCATGACAACCTTCGGCAAAAATGGTTACTTTCGAATGAAGTTCCATACCTCTTTCAAAATTTGCCTGATATTTTTAGATAAAATATTAATAATAATATTAAATAATAAGTTTACAGTGTAATTCATTTGGATTATTAAACTTTTATTAAAAGGATTATTAAGATAATAAATTCACCTTAGGACTTCCATCTTTGGCTATTCCAACATCATTTGTAGCTATACCTTTTACACTGCCATCTTCGTGATACAAAATTTCAGAAGCGGCATATCCAGGATATATTTCTACCCCTAAACTTTCTGCTTGAGTTCCCAACCATTTAACCAAATGTCCCAGTCTGACTACATAATTTCCATGATTATTCAAAGGCATACCTTCAAGAATTTTATCAATTAATAAGAAAACCATATTGTAAACAGTTAAAAAAAAAAAAAAAAAAAAATTTATTACCTGGAAGAATCGGTATACTTATTCTGCCAGAAGCGGTTAAAAACCCAAATTTATCTTTAACAACAGGAGTATTTAAAGGTGCTCCTAATTCTTTCCAATCAGGAAAAAGTTCATTTAAAGCTTTAGGATCAATACAAGCTCCAGATAATATATGTCCACCTAAAATAGAAAAAAAAAAAAAAAAAAACAATAATAACAATTACTAATAAAAATTAAAAACTTAATAAAAAGACAAGAGCTTTTAATAAGGTAGAGTAGTATAGTACTTTTTATAAATTAACCTATTTCAGATGCTTTTTCCACTAAACATACTCTCATTTCTTTATTGTTACTAGCTGCTAATTGTTTTAATTTTATTGCTGCCGCCATTCCAGCAGGTCCTCCTCCCACGATTAATACATCAGTTTCATCTGCAAACCTTTCCATATTTGTATTTGAAAAAAAAAAAAAACAGTAAAATTAAACCTTAAAAATTTTAAAATCATAATTAAAAGAATTCTATTTTAATGTAATACTTACCTTTCCATCTTGGATCATTTTCTCTTGGAATAATAGTGTAATGAGTTGTGATTTTAGGAAAATTAGACTTGCAATACTTTCTCGAACCTAATGAAAAAAAATTAGGCCCTGAAAAAAAAAAAAAAAAAATTTATTTCAGTCAAAACATAAAAATATAAGTTAAAAAAATTTTTGTGTTTTAACCCACATAAGAAATAATTACTGGTTTTACTATAGAATAATACTTATATGGGTCAACGTTCATTTTTAAATACCGATAAAAAGAAAAAAATTATAAATTTCAAATTCAAAAAAATAATTAATAATAAAAATATGAGTAAAGAAAAGTAAACTTAAATATTATTTAATACTGATGTACAAAAATTTAATCAGTGAAACGGTCATTTGATTTTAACACTTGATAAGCACAGTAGAAAATTGTTTAATATGAGTTTTGTCAAAAAATAATTTATTTGCAAAATAGAACAGACTGTATCATTACAATAATTAATTATTTGGTATAGTATGATATAATTAATAGTCTACCAATTAAAAATAGAGTGTTTAATTAATTAAATATAATAATAATAATTTTTACCTTTAAAGGCTGTACAATTTCTAAACGCCATATTTGACTTAATCACTGAAAATTAGATAAGGACAATTTTTATCATTTCAAAAACTTTATTAACATTTATTGTGACAGTTTTAATTTTACTTATAATATTATATTATACGAAAAAAAAGTACTTAAAAAAAAATTTTATTTTTAAAAAACCATAGAAATTGTACTGTGTGTAAATAAAATTTAAAAAATTAATATATGTCAAAATTTTTGTAATGGCTGATATCCGGTTTTTCGAGTTGTTGTAATACGCAATTGACTTTTATTATACTGTGGAAGCAAATTAGTTTTTATAAGTTGATACTATTTGAATTTGTTCTAATTATTTTTATCATTAATGAGTTTTTAATTATTTTTTGTAATAAGTTATTAAGAAATGAAAAGCAGACTGGTTATTTACACAAATAGGTGAATCATTTAATTAACGTTAAACATTCAAATTTTAAATTTAATTAAATATGTGTTAAAATTTATATTCAAATTTGATTTTTAAGAAATAATATTTCTTTTTTTTAAGAATTCTTTTTTATATTATTTTACAATTAAAATCTTTAAAAAGCATAAATATTAAAGAAATTTACTTTTGCTTGTATGTATTGGAAAAATGTCACAATGATGAATAATACAATCCTAAGTTTAATAAACCTTGAAAGTGAATTTTCACATTAAAACTATTTTTTTAACAATGTCATACTTTATTATTTAAAGTTATTTTCAATTTTTTATCATACTGTAAAAATGTAAAGATGTTTTTTATCTTCTCCCCCAAAAAAAAAAATGTCAATCATAAAAATTTAATCAATAATTTTTTTTATTACAGTGACCAATAAAGCAGTAATATTATAAAATACATTTGGAGTTCGAGTTCAACACATTTTTACTTTTTAAATTAATATTACCACAATTAAATACTAAAATTTTCCAATGTAAGTTTTTACTTAAATGTGTAAACTACCTGTTTAAAGTTATCATGTAGTAAATTAATTTTTTTCTTATATTTAATTAGATGGAGTGGTTATTTGGAAAAAGAGTTACACCGGATGAAATGCTAAGAAAAAATCAAAGAGCTTTAAATAAAGCAATGAGAGATTTGGATAGAGAAAGAATGAAAATGGAACAACAAGAAAAAAAATTAATAGGAGATATTAAAAAAATGGCTAAAGATGGTCAAATGGATTCAGTTAAGATAATGGCTAAAGACTTAGTGAGAACTAGGAGATATGTTAAAAAGTTTATGATTATGAAAGCAAACATTCAAGCCATTAGTTTAAAAGTACAGACGTTAAAGTCTCAAAGTGCCATGGCTGAGGCGATGAAAGGTGTAACAAGAGCCATGCAAAATATGAACAGGCAATTAAATTTGCCTCAAATACAAAAGATTATGCAAGAATTTGAAAAACAATCTGAAATTATGGAAATGAAAGAAGAAATTATAAATGATGCAATGGATGATGCTATGGAAGGGGATGATGACGAGGAAGAAACGTGAGTATTATTTTCCTCACTTTAATGTTAATGTAGAAAATTATATAAAAAACTTACCTGTTATTAATTTTTTTGTACATTTTACAGAGATGCAATCGTTTCCCAAGTTTTAGATGAATTGGGTCTTCAAATGAATGATCAATTATCAGGGTTACCTCAAACAGGAGGCTCATTGGCAACACCCTCCGCAAATAAAACTGCCGAAGCAGCAGGTGTAGCAACAGATGCTGATGCTGATCTTCAAGCACGTCTTGATAATTTAAGACGAGAATAATTATAATTATTTATTTTTTTTTTTACATAAAAATGAAAAATAATATTTATAATATAGTATTACACTACATCCATGCCTTAATTATTAAGATGTTACG